TAGCCCTCAGAATCACAGCATCTCAAACCACCACAGCATGACAGATAGACGAGTGGTGGCCGTTTGGTTTTATATCTTACTGCTTTCTAATTGCAGATTTTGTATAGTTCCTTTTTTTTCAGTTAGTGAATTTGTTTCCTGACTTTTTTCCATAGGGCTGTCTAAGTTTTCCTTGATTTCTTCTGTTGTTTTACTGATTTTTCTCTCAATCCATTAAAGTTGCCTAATTAGCATTCTTTTAAATTCCTTATCAGGTAGTTTGTTACCATTTCTGGTGTTATATTTTCTGACTCTGTATTTCAAGGCACTCTGTCTTATTTCTTTGTGTAAGCTGAACTTTTCTCCAAGACATTGTGATGTCATATTTATATTTGGTTGAGGATTGCATATTGATGTATTCTCAGTCACTCCCCACATGTCTCCTGGTAGATATGGTAGAGACCAGAATTGTGAATACAGTTAGATTTCTGTTCCTTGTTTATGAAGTGTATTTCAGGGCAGGTTCACGTGTCTGCAGAAGCAAAGGCACTATGCCAAGTGCCCAACGCCAGGCAACAGAGTAGAGACTGCACAGAAAGAGTGCCACTGGCCACTGGATTGTTGAGGGCAGGAACTAGCCATGCCCTCATTTATAAGGAAGGTAGGGGAACAAGGGATAACTGTACATCCTTGCCTCCAACCTCCCACTATGTCCTGTGCCTAGAGACCACTATATCAACAGGTACTTGTGAAAGCTCAAAGTGGCTGCACTACGCCATGCCTACCCTCAATCCACCCACTTTTCTTCTCTCTCAGTGCTACTGTTCAGCTTCCTGTTCCAGTCATCACTCCATCTGCCTTCTGTGCTATCCTCTGACCCTCAAGGGTCCAAGAATACCATCTGTATCTGTTTTGCTTGGTATGCCGTGTCTTTGGTGCCGAGGGTCAGCTCAATGCATCTGCTAACTTTGCCATGTTGCCCCTTCTCTATCATGTTAAGTTTGTAAGTTTGAGTGGACTATGATGCATCCAGGTTAAGATATCAAGTACTCTGGTAGCGTACTGGTTACGAATCGGGCTGCGAGCTGCAAGGTCAGTAGTTCGAAGCTACCAGTGGCTCCGCAGGAGAAAGATGAGGCTGTCTGCTCCCGTAAAGATTTACAGCCTCAGAAACCCTGTACAGGGTCGCTATGAGTTGGAACCTACTCCACGGCACATAACAACAATAACAAGGCAATTTATATGAGTTTGAAGTTTAAGTAAGAAGTCTGAGCTTGTATCAACTGAGAGACTCAGTATTTAGATGCTATATAAACCTCTAAAGAACAGACAAAATCTGTTAAGATTTTGTTAAAGGTAAGAGTATAGAAAGATACAAGGGCCCAAATCTAAGAGACTTATGTTAGTATGCAAGAAATTAAATAGAGTATAAAAGGCTCAATATTTCCATCTTTTCCCCAGATTTTATTGTTGCTACTCAACCATATCATGACTGTTTCTACTGTGTTGCTAAATGGTATTGAGTCAGTTCCAACTCATAGGGACCCCAAGGAGCTGTTGCTGGGTTTAAACCACTGGCCTGTGGTCAGCAGTCTAGTGTCTATCCTACAGTGCCACACCAGGACATCTTAGTGATTGCTGTCAGTCTGATTTATATGCTACTGGCGAGGTGATTCCAGCTATCCTGGAGGAAGGGAATACAAGGGAACAGGGCAGGAGAATGAAAAGAAAACTATTCCTTACCTCTTCTTCTTCAAGTAGAATGAGCCGGACCACAACAATGTGAATTGCATTGCCAATGCTTGGGTTGTGGAACAATCCAGCAACCTGAAGTTAGAAAAGAAAACCCATTAGCTCCAAAATGAATAGATAAGGATGCCTAACAAAGAAACATAAAACTCAGTTGTCCTTGAGTGAATTTTGACTCATGGTAACCCCATTAGTTATAGACTGGAACTGCTTCATAGAGTTTTCTTAGAGACTTGGTGTGGGGCTGTAGGATAAGCATTGGACTGCTAACAACAAGGTCAACACTTCAAACCCACCAGTCGCTCCTTAGAAACTCTACACAAGGTCACTATGAGTCAGAACCGACTCGATGGCACTTAACAACAGTAACAATATTGAATTTTCTTGGCTATAATTCTCACAGAAGCAGATCAGCAGACCTTTTATTCTGCAGAGCTATTAGATGGATTTGAACTGCCAAACTTTAGGCTTGTGTTTGATGTAAACTATTTACACCACCCAGGGATTTAGAAAAGGTCAGAAGAGAAAAAATCAGCACACTCACTCACTTCAAATAAAGAGCAGCTTATAGGTCAGGAGTTTAGTGTGGAGTGCAAAGAAGAACGAGGCATGCCCACGGCCTGAGCCACATTTCAACAACTGGCACAACAGTTAAGCACTCAGCTGCTAATGGAAAGGTTGACTGTTTGAACTCACTCAGCAGCTCTGCAGAAGAAAGAAAGAAAGCTCTGCAAAATTTGATTTGATGGCACCTATGAACAACAAAAGCTGATTTGGAAGTAAGCTGCTCTTCTAAAGTGAAAGCTTTCCAGGATGATGAGTAGGCTCTGTGTTTGAAGGATTGGTGTCTTTCTTTCCTTTACCTCTCTTTTGTTTTCTTCTATTATCAATTACTTGAACTCCTAAGATAACCTTAGGAACGGGACAAATGGGTCTTTATCAAAATATTTGAAATGATTTTCATTCTTTTCACGATTTGTGTCATTTGCCAGGAGCCAATTTATCTGCAACCATAAATTCTTCCTAATAGGAAATAATGATGCATCCATAAAATTAAATAATCTGAGCTCTGAGGAAACTAAAATTAGCTCCTCTCAGCCAGGAGGAAGGAAGGAAAATAAAGGAAAGAATTCAGCCTAGGCTGATATCTGATTAGCGAGTCAACTCCAGCACTGGGGAAACGTTTTTCTCCTTACACAATATCTGGTCATTTGCATGAAGATTAACATCAATTCAGGAGTTCATTTTCTGATTCTTTAGAGAAATTATGAACTTGGTTATACCTCCTCCATAATAATGTTGTACCCAAAGTTCTTTGCTCCTTACATACAGCCAGAGACCCATGTCTCTTCTGGTCCCTGGGAACTCCTGGGGCAAGTCAATTTCACTGACAGACAGACACTGCGTGGTGCTGTAGGATCAGCACTGGACTGCAAACCTCAAGGGCAGTAGTTCAAATCCACCAGCTGCTCCTTGGAAACCCTATACAGGGTCGTTATGAGTTGGAACCTACTCGACAGAACTTAACAACAACAACAGTATACATATATTATTTTTATCTCTGATGTCTTTACCTATTCTTTGTAAATAGTTTGAAACATCATAGAATGCAGTAGTCATGTTCTTTAAACTTATATTATCCTTTTTTAAAATACTCAATCACTTTGAGTAAACCTTCCCTCCCTCTCTCTTGTCATTGAGTCCATTCTGATTCAGGGTGATCCTATGTGTGTCAGAATAAAACCCTGCTCTATAGTGACTGATTCTTTAAAATACATCACCAGTCCATTTTTCTGAGGCTCCTTTCACACCAACTATTTGGTTAGCAGTATAATAGCGTAGTGGTTACGAATCAGGCTGCAAGCCGCAAGGTCAGCAGTTGGAAAATACCAGCTGTTCCGCGGGAGAAAGATGAGGCTTTGTCCCGTAAAGATTTACAGCCTCGGAAACCCTATACAGAGTCGCTATGAGTCGGAACCAACTCCACGGCACATAACAACAACAACAACAACATAGCACATTAGCCTTTTTGGACCACCCAGGTAATCTTATAAAGAGAAAAGCAAAGCTCAAACCCATTGATTTTGGATAAACCCTGATCCATGGTGACCTTGTTTGTTACAGTGTGGATATGCTCCATAGGGTTTTCTTAGTGGCACTGTAGGATAAACAGTGGACTGCTAACTACAAGATCAGCATTTCAAACCCACCAGATGCTTTGGGAGAGAAAGATGAAACTTTTTGCTCCTGGAAAGATTAATAGCCTCAGAAACTGTGTTCAGGGTCGCTATGAGCCAGAATTCACTGATGGTAGTGGGATGGATTTTTTTGGTTAAAATCCTAAGAGTTGAAGGGAGAACTAAAATCTAAATCTGGATTTGTGGTTCCCGATGTTGGCCTCTAGAGGGCGTAAAGTCTTCCTCCCTCAGTATGAAAGGCTTTCTATGGAATGTTAAGGCAAAGTACTTTTCAGGCCCTGTACTCCTCGTGTCTCCAGTAAAGATTTACAGGCCTGGAAATCCTGTGCAGGGTCGCTATGGGTTGAAATCGACTCGAAGGCACTTATCAACAACAACTAGTCTTGGTATGGCACTGTAGGATAAGCACTGGACTGCAAACAACAAGGTTGACAGTTCAAACCCACCAGCAGCTCCTTGGAAATCCCTGTGCAGGATTGCTATGAGTCAGAATTGACACGATGGCACTAAACAACTACAACACATTAGACACGGATCAGCTGCGCAGAATGCCTCTGGGTTTTCTTTTGGGGATTCAATCTTTAGAGTACTGGTGTGCTGTAGGATAAGCACTAGATTACTAATCTCAAAGTCAATGATTAATCCCACAGGCCACTCCTTGGAAGCCTTATATGGAGTTGCTGTTATTTGGAACCAATTCAACAACACTTAACAACAACATCCACCCTATCTTGTTCAGAAGGAGTCCTGGAGTGGTGCTGTAGGATAAGCACCAGACTGCTAACCGAACAGCTGGCAGTTCACACCAAACCCACCAGCCACTCTGTGGGAGATAAATGAAGTTTTCTTTTCCTATAAAGATGTTGTAGTTGTTGTTGTTGTGTGCCGTGGAGTCGGTTCCGACTCATAGCGACCCTGTACAGGGTTTCCAAGGCTGTAAATCTTTACCGGAGCAGAATGCTTCATCTTTCTCCCGCGGAGCAGCTGGTAGTTTCAAACTGCTGACCTTGAGGTTCACAGCCCAATTTGTAACCACTACGCTACCAGATCTCCTCCTATAAAGATGTATAGTCCCAGAAATCCCCCAAAGGGTCTCTATGGGTCAGAATTGACTCAATGGCAGTGAGTGGTTGTGGCTTTTTATCCTACTTTGATGGAGCCCTGGTGGTGCTGTGGACTAAGCATTGGGTTGCATACCACAAGGTCAGCAGTTCAAACCCACCAGCTGCTCCTCTAGAGAATGCTAAGGCTATTTGCTGCCCAAAAGGTTTTGTCTCAGAAGGCCTGAGATGCAGTTCTATTCTGTTCTACATAAGCTGACTATGAGTTGAAACCAACACAATGGCAGTGGGTTTGGTTTTGGCTTTAGGATCCTGGTTGGAAGAAGCCCTGGTGATGCAGTGGTTAAAGCATACAGATTCTACTTACAAGGTCAGTGGTTCAAACCACTAGGGTGATGGTATAAGATGTGGCAGTCCGCTTCCACAAAAATGACAGCCTTGGAGAGCTTAGGGACAGTTCACTGTGTTCTAGGGTCGGTATGAGTCACAATCAACTAGATAGCAAAGAGTTGGGTTTCTTTTTTTGCTTTGTTTTATGTTTGTATCCTGCTTAGAAGTAAGCATTCCACCCTTCCATCTTATCACTCTTGCCATGGGGTCATAACAGGGCACATCCCAGATAAAAGGAGGCATTCAGTCTCCTAGGTAAGGCATAAACAAGTTATACCCAAATCATCTGAGAAATTATTTAACATACAGTATGTATCCCTTAGTGGCCTTTGATTCTGGGCCTGGGTGCTCGGACTTTGCCTGAGAGCAGGTGGGCTGGACACACGGCTCTCTTCTTCTCACTGCATTCCTCCTGCCACTGTACAGTCTACACTGCCTGCTGCTGCCACACTCATCTCTCCAGTCTCTGCCAGCAGCTCCAGTAGCATCAATAGTGGCGACAAGGATGACTGATGAGAAACAGGCTTCCCATGAGGTTTTAATAGGATATTCATACAATGTACAAATCACATAATGTCCTATTTCACCAAAGGTATTGGTATCATGACATATACCTGTACCTAGATACCTGGGCCTCAGTACCAAAGTTCTGACTAGGCGTGGGATGGAGACTACAATATAGGTAAAAGCAATACTTCTTTGGTTCACTCTGATACCCAGCCACGCATGGGAACATGGCAAGCCTTCTCAGTCTATGCATCACCAGGTAGGTTCTTCTTAACCTTGGCCAGCCATCACAATCTCCTGCGGGCTTTTACAAATCCAGATGATCAGGCTATAGTACAACCAATTGAATCCAAGTTTCAGGGGTGCTACCAACAACATCAGTATTTAGGAAGCACTGTCTAGGCTGTAGAAGAAGGAGAAGAACTTGCAGGATTTTATTGTGGCTCTGTGGACTAATGCGTCAGACTGCAAAGTCATTTGAATTGCAAGATCGGTGGTTCAAGCTCACCAGCTGCTCCTTGGAAACCCTGTACAGAGTCGCTATGGGTCGGAATTGACTCGGTGGCACTTAACAACAACATATCTTCATATATTATTAAAAGGATGCAGATAGAATTTTTAAAAGGAGATTAAAATTGCTATTTATCTCGCTTCCTCATTAGGGACCATTTAGGGAATGCCCAGAGCTATTACTCAAAAGTTCAGGATCTCAGACAAATATCTATCTCCATCTCAATAGGATTAACATAGTCCCTGGAAAGACAGAGAATACCAGTAACACTATGAGAAAGCTTGGAAGCATAGTACATTAATTTATATGAATTCTAGCTTTAACCCTTCGAGGGAATCGTGTTCTAGTTCTTTGTGTCACTTATCCACTTAAAACAGGTAAAGCAAAGTCATAGAGGAAAGATGGAGTCTCCTGGTAAATACCTAGTGTCACTGGTGTGTGCTATGAAGTCAATTCTGACCCACAGGAATCTTATAGGGCACAGTAGACCTGCTCCCTCCAGGTTTCCTAGTAATTTTTACTGAAGCAGATTACCAGGTATTAACCTTTCTTTTTTTCCCACCAGGTCTTTTCAAACCACCAACCTTTCTGTTAAGAACTAAGCACTTAATCATTATGCCCCCTGGACTCCTAAATGGTTGTTGTTAATAAGAGTCACCCAATGAGTTCTGACTCATAGCCACCCTGTATAGGATTTCCAAGGAGTAGCTGGTGGGTTTGAACTGCCAGCCTTATTTTGGTTCACAGTCGAGTACTGATCCTACATCACCACACCGGAAATCCCCTTAAATAGTTGTTGTTAAACACCATCGAGTCAGGTCAGACTCATAGTGACCCAGAATACAGTTTCTGAAGAACGCCTGGTGAATCTGAACAGCCAATCTTTCAGTTCAAAGCAAGCTTGTGGTCCAGTGCTTACCCTACAGCACCACACCAGGGATTTATGTAAATGATAAATCACACAATTTCCCAGGATGCACATTTTCTTAAGGGAAAAACGAATTTGTCCTAAATTCCCAATCCCAGGTAAGAAATAAAATTGTGTATATAAGTAAAAAGCTCAAAGAGCACACCATTTCTCATGTTTTTGTTTCTTGAGGGGTAGGGAAGGCTAGCTCTCTCCCACTGCTAGCCCCATGAGGTCTGGCATACCATGTTCATGATGGTGAGGATATAGGATTCCACATTCTCACTGCCGTGATACTCAACCATCTTCGTGTCAGCCACCACCAGAGTCTCTACCCATCTCTCTTTGCTGATGGAACGCCGAGAGAGGCTTCTGCTTGGCAGGTGGTTCCGCTCCCACCTCTCCCTCTGCAGTTCTTGCTTCTGGAAAGTGCCAGAACCATCTGAAAATTAACCAGATGACAGTGGGATCAATCAATCTATAATCTCTCTCACATCATATGCACTGCTTGTAAAGACGCAAATCTCTAAGTGTGATTTATGTTTAGTAACATAACTTTGCAAATTTCATATAGTCATGACTGAAATGAAAGAACAGATCCTTTTAAATAAATACAACACAACCAAGATAACTAAAATGTAAATCTCACAGAGAAGTTAAAAAAAAAAAAAAGTCCTTTGAAATAATTACTATGTATTTCACTAAATTGTGTATTTTACTAGGAAAAA